TTCTTAAAAGCAATGACACTGGCAGAAATCTTATACCCTCGTTGTAATGTTCCCTGTAGGTGCGTCATTGAAAACAGGACTGAGGGCTGTGTTAGCAAACGGCCCCACCAGCAAGTCTAAGTCAGTAGGAAGCAGCCTGACAATTGTGTCATGGTGTTGTTCCATAAGTAATTCAAGTTTGTGGAAGAAACAAGACACCTTTGGTATGTTGCAAAGGGCTGCCAAAGACTGCAGATTCTCTCTGTGGCTGAGCTAACATATTACATGATCCCGTTGCAATGTGTACAAAGCTTCTGCAGAAGATTGTGTTTGCACATGCTAGCCTGTTCAAGCAGAGCCCAATGGAAGTGTTCAGTTTTAATATCTATTTACTAGAAATGGAGCAGAACCATCGGTTTCAATCATGTTGCTTTGACCAGGTCTGGTATCTGGTAGAGCAAAAGAGCAAAAGAAATTCTCAATCCACATAGTGCTGGCAAGAAAAAGAGAAGTTGATTGCTAGCACTTTTATTGATTACAATGCATCGACCTGTTGTTCTTACGTTAGAAGTATTTCTATGTCTCTGAGATGTTTGAAAATATTAATAAAGTTTACAATAATATTAAACACATAGGGCATGTAGACATGAACGTTCAAATTGCATACTTTTTCAATTCATTCACAATGTGTGAATAGCTCTGGCTGGTGTGTCTCGGTTGGTCGGAGCATTGTCCCATGCACCAGGTCATGGGTTTGATTCCCTGGTCAAAGCACATTCACCGGGTTTCATCTTCCACCCCAGGCAAGGGAACTTAGGGGAAGCAACTGATCAATATTTCTCTCTCGCATTGATACATTGAGTTCTTTATCTCTTCTCTTCTCTTCCCTTCTCTTCTCTTCTCTTCTCTTCTCTTCCCTTCTCTTCTCTTCTCTTCTCTTCTCTTCTCTCTCTCTCTCTCTCTTCCTTAAGCTAAAATCAGTAAAAAGCATATCCTCGGGTGAGGATTGAAAAAAAAAACACATGAATAAAATAAACAGTAAATATTGCTGTCTGGAGGAGCGAGTGTCCATCAGCCTTGTTTGGGAAGGCGTGTAAAAATATATGAGTTGAGCTCATTCTGAAGGGCAGTGGGATATGAATTAGTTGGGTAGGAAGGAAGGATGCCTAAAGCAAAGGTTACACTACACATTACAAGGCAAAGAAAGAAAAGAGTAAGTGAGCCCTAGAAGCTCTGCGTGGCCTAGCAGGACTGAGCAGAGGGTTCTTTTAGAAGCGGAGGGAAATGTGAGGAAGAAGAGGGCCAGCTGGTGCATTAAGTGCAAGACTTTATGTAATTGTTTGGGCTTTAAATAAAGGGTCTAGATTACCAAGGGTCTAAACATGAGGTCAGTTTCCTCAGAATACAAGTTTTATAGACCAATGCTAGTAACTAGCCCAGATTCTGGAATGTTTCTAAGTCTATCTATTTATCCATTTACCACTCATCTTTCAAGTGTTAGGTCAAGCTCCCCTTGACCATGCCAATAACTGCTAGTTTTGCATTTATTTTCTGCTGTGTTCAGCCTCAGCTGTTACTTCTTTCCTCCACTTTGTGTTCCATGACCCAACAATGCCCCAGAAATTACAATTCTCTAAATACTCCAAACTTTGTTTACTTATCTCTAAACCACATCACTGACCCCAGCAGCCTTAAGTTTTCCACTATTCTAAATGTGTTTAAAATTTTTGACTCTTTTTTTAAAAAAATTATCTTTATTGTTGAGATATTACAGATGTCCCCCTTAATATTACAGATGACTCTTAAACATATATGGCAATTGATTATGAATCAAGCTCTCTTGTTTATTTTATATTTGTCTTAAATTACTTTTATGTGTCTTGTTATTTTGCTTTGACTATGTCCATCTTTCTTACCAGAATACTTGTGTCGAGAAGACAATTGCAGCTTTTTATTCTTAATTTTTCTACTGGGCACATCAAAATGATTCTTGGATTAAAAAGCTGCCCAGAGAATGGGCATATGAATTAATATAGAATACATGAATGATGAAAACTAGTAGAATGGATGTGAGGGTTAGGAGAACATTTAGGAACATCAGAGGTCAGCCATGCACAGTAATACCTGGGGATAGGAACAAAATTAAGTAAGGGCAACAATTGTTCACACTTCTTAACATGGCATTCTTATTGTCCCTAGCATTTCACCTAACACTTTAGTAATCAAAACACTTAAAATGTCTTTACTCAGAAAAGGAGTGCTTATCGCTGCTTGATAGACAGAAAGCTAGAACTGGAGAAAAGCAAACACTAAAAGGAGAAGTTTAACCAAAATTACTTAATGACTGTTTGTGGAGTAAAATTATCCTTCTGGGGAATGAGATACTAGCCTAATTAATGGACAAAGGCTTTATTTTATGGTAGTGCACGGATGTTATATTATCTTTAGATTTCAAGACACAAGCTTTCACAGACACAAGATGAGGGCTAAGTTGATCGCGTCTTATTTATACTCGGCAGTGTTACCCTGAGCAAACTCTCAAGTTCAGATAGAGAGTCTTCAAAGGGTAATCGATTTTTGTTCCGGTCACCATCATTGTCATTTATTCTATCTTATCTGTAGAGTTTATGTCATGAATCAATGGAAAAAACTAATTATTGTCAAGCTAACTGGAAATTATACAAAATTGTAATTGTGCTAACTTTGGATCTCTCTGGAACTTACAAATGAGAGCACTTGCAAATGTTTAAGGAGACAACTCAGCTACCCAGACCATAATTAGTGGTGTTTTATGAAGGTCTGGAACTATTTAAATTACCCATGCATTTGTTGTTTCCATGTATTCATTCCATGAGCAATGTATTTCCCTTTTTCCACTTTGTATGAAGAATGAGGGTAGAAAACACCCGTAATTCTATACTTTTTGAGAAGCATGGAACACATCCATCAGTTTAGAACACCCTCAAATGAAATTCTTTACCCTCATTTGGTCTCCATTGTGGGCAATTTATAAACATTCATATTTAAATATAATGCCTCTTTTTGCAGAAGAAAAACAACCCCAGATGAAAGTCTAGTTAATGGGATAACGAATAAGAGGTTTAGTTTTATGACTTGTCTCATTATCTCTCCTTAGTAAAGTCATTTAATTGCTCCTTGTGCCTTTTACAAAAAAGAGAACTATATTGACTGGCCCTGTAAAAAGTTCTAGTAATGTGAACTGGTTAAAGTTAGTCTAAAAATGGCTTTCAGCATCACTCAGTCTAAATGAATATGGCCGCATTAGTTACTTGCTGAGACTTACTTGCAGATGTTGGTCTGTTTGGTGCTACTGGCCCAGAGGCACTAACATTATTGGATAGCTGTTGCAAGGACTAACTCAGAGGTTGCCATGTCTTATTTGATCCCTAAAATTGTGTGTGTGTGTTTTTCATTGAGTCAACATTAAAATTTTGGAAGATTTCACATAAAATTCCACATTTCTATCTTCTGTTGAAATCTGGCCGCCCTTGGCTTATATTCCTGCATAGAAGCAATCAGCTGGAAATGAGTGTTCACTGCCACCTTTGGATAAGGTGTAACTTTCCAGTTTGTTACTGTTTACCACAGATGCTGTGCCCACTCTTATGGTCAGGAAGCTTGCTGCATTGCTTCCCTTTTTTTCTTGTACCTCTTTAAAAAAGATAAATGAAACCAGAACAGTAGTCTTCTTTTCAAGAAAAATATGACAAAGTATGTTTTGTGTGTGTGTGTGTGTGGTTTTTTTTCCAGAAAGTAGAGATATTAACAAGTGTTTAATAGGGTTAGACAAATAATGTCTGTCTGTGTTAAATGATTGTAACTGCCCTGGCTGGGTGGCTTATTTGGTTGAAGCAGGATCCCGTGCACCAGAAAGGTTTTGGGTTTGATTCCCAGTAGGAATGCAAACCAGGGGCAACTGATCAATGTTTCTCTCTAATCTCTCTCTCTCTCTCTCTCCCCCCCTCTCTCCCCCTCCCTCCCTCCCTCCCTCCCAAACCAATAAACAGATTCTTAGATGAGGACAAATTAAAATTATACCCAACAGCTTTCCTCATATCACTTAACACTCAGATTCTATTCGTGAGTAGGTTACAGCAGCTCCCAGGCTACCCTCGAGTTTGGCCTCAGGTGCCCTATAAATGGAATCTTCTTTCTCCTCAGAAGCCCTTGTCATGCTCCCTGCCCAGAACTGCTGAAGCCGTCCAGCAGTCCTTTTTCAGAACTCATTTTGGCTTTCTGTCTGCCCCTTTGAACCTGATTCTCTGCATCTTCCCCCTCTTAGCCAGAATAGAGGTCCCTGTTTCTTACAGCCCCTGCACCAGAATCAGATGCCAGATGTAATAGAGTAATTCACTACTCTTTGTCAAATATGTACTATTTGTCATAGGTCCAAGGGTGAAACAATGAACAGAATATATCCAGTTAAGGCCAATACACAGCTTACATTCCAGAGAGAAAAACAGACAATAAAAATCCAAGCAGCTGTCCTGGCCGATGTGGCTCAGTTGGAGCATCCTCCTGTACACCAAAGGGTCACAGGTTCAATTCCCAGTCAGGGCACACGCCCAGGTTGTGGGTTCCATCCCCAGTTAGGGTGTATACAACAGGCAACTGATCGATGTTTCTTTCTCACAATGATGTTTCTCTCTCTCTTCCTCTCTAAAATATATATATGTGCACAGCTAATATCATGTACCGTTAGGCAAATAGGACTCTGAAGCAAAATAAAGCAGGCTAAGGAGATAGTGGAAATGGAGAAGGGGAGCTATTTTTATATGTGTCATCACCTTGAAGGAAGACACTTTTCAACTGAGAACTGAATGAGGTAACAGAGAAAATCATGGACTTGCGTGGAGTGTTTCAGATGAGGAATAACAAGTGCCAAGGTGCTGGAGGGCAGATGCCTGAGGCTCCAGAAGAGCGAGAACTGGGATGGGAGTGGTAGATGCGGGCCAGGCACACGGGGGCTTGCAGGCCATGCTAGGCTGTTGGGATTTTATTCTAAGATTAATAGAAGTCACTGGGGCTTTTTCAGTGGTTTCAGAGGGGAATTGTCAGGTTTAATTTACCACATCCAATCCAAGCTCCAACTTCAGAGGACACTCTTTTGGGAGAAGGGATCAGATGGAATAAAATTCCTGCACATTAGAATTTTGATTGAATTTGATAATGATAGTCTAATTTTTTTAGCCAGTAACAGCATTTGATTATATCCACATGATGTTTTTTTCTAACAATACTATATCTGGCACAATAAGAAATAGAAAAGTAATGGATGAAGAAGGTGAAAAGTTATATACACAGTGGTGTCAGCTCCTCTCAGAAAAGAAAAAGGATAGAATGAGCGGACTTAGCCTCATTCAAATAATCAAATTATACACCTTGTATATTCATTTTTTACAGATAGTAATATATAGTACTATATATGGTTGTGTTGTGTACTCTTCAGTGGGCAGCAGATACACTTAAAACAACTTGAGCTAAATATTTTGAAAAGTTGAGGACTTTTAATCATTACTGAAACTAAGTAAGTATTTTATTAACTTGGTTTTTAAAAAATATTTTTTAGTGCCCAGGAGGAGCATTTACACCCAATATGCGAACCACCAAGGAGTTCCCAGATGATGTTGTCACTTTCATTCGGAACCACCCTCTCATGTACAATTCCATCTACCCGATCCACAAAAGGCCCTTGATCGTCCGGATAGGCACTGACTATAAGTACACAAAGATAGCTGTGGATCGAGTGAATGCTGCTGATGGCAGATACCATGTCCTGTTTCTTGGAACAGGTAAGTAGTTGAGCTCAAATTATACTTCAGTGTGTAGAAAACGAGTATAATAGTAAGGACTATGCTACTGAAACCAGAAAGTCCCCAGTGTTTATTTCTGTCTGACCATCAGTGAGATGGTTAATGTCTTTATGCCTCAGTTTCCACATCTGTAAATTGGAGTTGATGAAGTAAAACAAACTGCTTTATAGGGTTGTGTGTAAATGGATTAAT